AAAAAAAAAAAAAAAATCTAATTGTGATATTAAAATTGTGACTAAAAATTAATCTATGGCCAGTAAATTTGAAAATATATGGCTGATAGATAATCGCGACATGTAATTTTTTGATATGTGACCAATAAAATAATATGTAACCTGATTTGCGACCTCGAAATAATTCGTGACCTACGAAATTTTTGATATGTGACCAATAAAAAAATCGTGACTTATAATTTTTTTGATTTGTGACCTCAAAAATATATATGTGACCAATTAATTATGTATTTGTGACCATTAATTGTATAATTGTAACATCATTATATTTAATTAATAAATAAATTAATTAAATAGATAATTGTCGGAATCGAAAAAGTTACCAGAAAAGTCGCGGAAAGTTCACTGGAATAATCGTCGGAATCAGAGTAGTAGACGGAACGGTCACCAGAATAGTCATTGAAAAGTCGTCGAAATGTCGCCGAAGAAGAGTGATGGCCGTAACGATCGCCGGAATAATCGCCGGAATAATCACCGGAGCAGAAGGGGTGATGTAGATGTGGTGAATTAATTATATTATATTAAAATTAAAAATTTAAAAATTTATTAATTCATAAATAAAAATTTAAAAAAAATCTAATTTTTAAAATTTAAAACTTGTTTTCTTATTTTTAAAATGTCACATACTTAACATCTTAGAAATAATTTTTTTTTTTTTTACCCTTTTGTTTTGGCCCATCCTTCTCGGCTTTCCGTTTCGGTTTCAGTTCCCTTCTTTCTTTCTTTCTTTATTTTTTTACGTTTCTGCCCTTGCTGAACTTTTTTGCTGGGTCGCCACAAGACTAGGCCCAACATGCTGAAGTCAAAATAGACCAATTCCTAGCATTCTCACCGGCATTTCCGCTTCAGCTGCCACTTCAGGCAAATGGAGGACGACAAATTGGCGGCGTACTACGACGAGTTAACTCAGAAAGGCGGTGGCGCCGCCAGATTCAAACAAGGTCTTGGATTCTCTTCCAATACTCCTGCCAACAACACTGTTACACCCAGAGGCTCCGCTCTTCCTACCTCCTCATCTTTTCTCAGCAGTCTCGTCAAAGCCTCCCGTCCCACCACCTCCTCCAGTCTCCAGAAACAAGCCC